CAGCTTTGACCACAGCTCCAGTTTTGATATTGCCTACTGGTTCGGGGTCTTATACTGTCTATTGTGATGCCTCGAGGATTGGCATTGGATCGGTATTGATGCAGGATGGTAGGGTGATTGCCTACGCGTCCAGACAGTTGAAGGTACATGAGATGAATTATCATGTCCATGATCTCGAGTTAGCTTCTATTTTTCACGCCTTGAAGATCTGGTGTCACTGTTTGTACGGTGTTCCTTGTAAGATTTATACTGATCACCGGAGTTCGCAGCATCTGTTCAAGAAGAAGGACCTTGCGCCAGAGGAGGTGGTTAGAGCTGCTGAAGGACTATGATATCGCTATCTTATATCACCCGGTCAAGGCCAATGTGGTGGCCAATGCTTTGAGTCGCCGGGTGGAGAGTTTGGGGAGTTTGGCTTACCTACCAGCAGCGGAGAGGCCCATGGCGATGGATGTTCAGGCCCTAGCCAGCCAGTTTGTGAGATTGGATCTTTCGAAGCCTAGTTGGGTCCTTGCTTGTGTGGTTTCTCGATCTTCCTTGTTTGATCGTATCCAGGAGCGTCTGTTTGATGAACCTCATTTTCTCGCCCTTAAGGACAAGCTTTTGCGAGGTGATGCCAGAGATGTGACCATTAGTGATGACGGGGTATTGAGGATGCAGGGTCGGGTTTGTGTACCCAATATTGATGGGCTTCGGGACTTGATTCTAGAGGAGGCCCATAGTTCGCGGTATTTCATCCATCCGGGTGCCGCGAAGATGTATCAGGATTTGAGACAACACTATTGGTGGAGGCGGATGAAGAAGGACATAGTTGGGTTTGTAGCTCGGTGCCTCAATTGTCAGCAGGTAAAGTATGAGCACCAGAGGCCGGGTGGATTACTTCAGCAAATAGAAATTCCGGAGTGGAAGTGGGAGCGGATCACCATGGACTTCGTAGTTGGGCTCCCACGGACTTTGAGGAAGTTCTATGCCATTTGGATGATTGTGGATCGGCTGACCAAGCCCGCGCACTTCATTTCTATGTGTACCATCTATTCTTCGGAGTGGTTAGCGGAGATTTATATCCGGGAGATTGTCCGTATGCACGGTATTCCAGTATCCATTATTTTAGATAGAGGTACTCAGTTCATATCATGGTTCTGAGGGCCGTACAACACGAGTTGGGCACTCGGGTAGAGTTGAGCACAGTATTTCACCCCCAGACGGACGGACAGTCCGAGCGCACTATTCAGATTCTTCATAATATGCTCCGTGCGTGTGTGATGGAGTTTGGAGGTTCTTGGGATCAGTTCTTGCCACTAGCTGAGTTTGCTTACAACAACAGCTATCAGTCCAACATTCAGATGGCACCGTATGGGGCTTTGTATGGTAGGCGGTGTAGATCCCCGGCGGGTTGGTTCGAGCCGGGCGAGGCTAGATTATTGGGAACAGACTTGGTACTAGATGCTTTGGAGAAGGTTAAGGTGATTTAGGATAGACTCCGTACAGCCCAGCCAGATAGAAGAGTTATGTAGACCGGAAGGTTCGTGATGTTTCCTATATGGTTGGAGAGCAGGTCTTACTACGTGTTTCGCCTATGAAGGGCGTCATGAGATTTGGGAAGAAATGGAAATTGAGTCCGAGGTTTATCGGGCCTTTTGAGATATTGCGGCGTGTTGGGGAGGTTGCTTATGAGCTTGCCTTACCTCCCAACTTGGCAGGGGTTCATCCGGTATTTCATATTTCGATGCTCCGGAGGTATCACGGTGATCCGTCGCACGTGTTGGATTTCAGTTCAGTCCAGTTGGACAAGGACATATCCTATGTTAAGGAGCTAGTAGCGATATTGGATAGGCAGGTTCGAAAGCTGAGGTCAAAGAACATCGCATCAGTGAAGGTTTAGTGGCGGGGTCAGCCGGTCGAGGACGCGACTTGGGAGACAGAGCAGGATATGTGCAGCCGTTACCCTCATCTTTTTCACTACTTCAGGTATGTCTCTATACTCGTTTGAGGACGAACGAATGTTTTAAGAGGGGACGGATGTAACGACCTGGCCGGTCGTTTTAAGAATTTACGCCCCGTTACCCTATTAACTGCATTCCCCGTGTTTGTTTCTACTATTGTAAGTTGTTGGGAGGACTCGTTTTGAGTTTCGGAGTATTTTGGGACACTTAGTCCCTAAATGAGAGCTTAAGCTTCAGAATTTAGACCGTAGTTAGAGTAGTGTGAAGGCGGCATTGATTCCGCTAGCTCCGTTGGGTGATTTCGAGCTTAGGGGTGTGTTCAGATTGTGTTTTGGAGGTCCGTAGCTTAATTAGGCTTGAAATGCCGAAAGTTGAATTTTTGAAGTTTCCCGTTCAATAGTGAGATTTTGATATCGGGGTCGGAATGGAATTCCGGATGTTGGAGTAGGTCCGTTGTGTCATTTGGGACGTGTGTGCAAAATTTCAGGTAATTCGGATGAGGTTTGATATACTTTTTGATCAAAAGCGAAAATTTAAAGTTTTGGAATCCTTAGGCTTGAATCCGAGGGTGTTTTGATGATTCGATGTTGTTTTGAGTGTTCCAAGGATTGCTACAAATTTGAATAGTGGTATATGGCTTGTTCGTATTTTTGGTTGAGGTCCCGGGGGCCTCGGGATGATTTCGGAAGGTTGACAGAAGAAAATTGGAAGGTTTGGAAGTAGCTTCAGCTGCTGAAGTTCTGGCATAACCGCATCTGCGGATTGGGGACCGCAGGTGCGGGCTCGCAGAAGCGTGTGGCTAGTCGCAGGTTCGATTTAGGGCGTAATTAGAATTGGCCGGAGATGCGGCCCAGGCATTGCAGAAGCGGCACCGCATCTATGGAATGGAGGTCGCAGGTGCGGAAATCCTTGTTTAATGAAAAGTCGCAGGTGCGACTTGGTCTACGCAGAAACGGGACCGCAGGTACGGTCCCGGAGCCGCAGACACGGTTTCACTGGTCAGAAAAGGGGCAGAATCGAGGTTTAAGTTTCAAAACCTAAGAAATTGATTTGGGAGCTCGGGATTGGCGGTTTTGGGAGGGATTTTCACCTGGGTGTTTTGGATTTGGGCCATTTGGAGTCGGATACTCGTGGCAAGAACGTGGTATTGAGTTGATTGAGCTGGTTCGAGGTAAGTGGCTTACCTAACCTTGTGTGGGGGAACTCCCCTTAGGAATTAGTACTGTGATATATGAAATGCCTTGTACGTGAGGTGACGAGTGCGTACATGTGCTAATTGTTGAAAATTCTATTTTCATCAAATTACTATAATTTCGTTTTCTTCCCTATTTTTACAAGTTGTAATTTAAGCCTACTGTTAGCTTAGGAAAGCATGTCTAAGTGACTTAACTGCTTTACTTGCCCAAACTGCCTTATTTGAATTCTGTGCAGCATGCTAGGCTAGAAATACCTGTTTTACCTTGGTATAAATTTGATTGAATTGAATATTCTTCGTGTTGTTGCTGTGTGTTTATTTTGGGACTACGGGCGATATCCCGGGAGATCCCCCTTGCCTGTTTTATTTGGGACTACGGATGTGGTATTCCAGGAGATCCCCCCTGCACTTTTATATTGGAACTACGGGACTGCACCCGATAGATTCCCCCAGTACTGAGTATTACATTTGGGACTACGGATGTGGTATTCCGGGAGATCCCCTGCGTATTATGAGTTGGACTACGGGACGACACCCGGGAGATCCACTAGGCATTTATATTTGGGACTACAGGACGGTATCCTGGGAGATCCCGGTTGTTATCTCTGTGTCGAACTGTATTCCTTCTGTGATTATCTCTGTTGTAGTTGTTGCTACTCTTATTACCCTGTGTTACTTTAATACTGCTTCTTTTCCTTATGTATTATTGTAGATGACGGTAGGGCCCTCACCTTCCTCGTCACTACTCGACCGAGGTTAGGCTTGGCACTTAGTGGGTACCGCTGTGGTGTACTCCTGCCCTTTCCTGCACATATTTTTCGTGTGCAGATCCAGGTACTTCGACTCAGCCCTACTACCCTTGAGGCGAGGTGATTCTCTAGAGACTTCGAGGTATATCCTCCGCGTCCGCAGACCGAGGAGTCCCTTTCCATTCTCCCTTGTAGTGATAGCCCTTCTATATTTTCTTTTGATTTAGATATTCCGGAGTTAGAGCATTTTGTCGTATTCATAGCTTGTGATTCATGGGATTCCGGGTTTTAAGAGTTGTTCGGTTTTGAGATCTTGTATTGTATATGCCAAGCGGCATCTTAAACACTTTTATATTTGTTATCTTCGGTTTTATATTAGTTTTTCTGCATATGTTTCTTTCTTCCGAAATTGTTAGGCTTACCTAGTCGTAGGGACTGGGTGCCGTCACGACATGTTCACGGAGGGCGAACTGGGGTCGTGACAACTACAAACTCAAAAGAGATTTTTACATTCCTATACACTATATGAAACTATATTACCCCCTACTCATGTTTTACTATAATTACGTTTTATATACCTAATTATCATTTATGTACATTTTATAGGAATTAATGATAATAATTAGTGTCTTAAAATCACTCTAACGTATCTCACTCCTCCACATTTCTCTCTCCACATCCCACCCCCTCCCCCACGTATCTTGCACAAGAGAGCTGCAATTCCATCATTGACACCCATTAAAAAGCTTTGAAGCTATTATAATTGATCAATGATACGGTAATTCGAAGCTTTGCTGAGCTTCGATGGTGAGCTTCAATGGTGAGAGAGTTGTGACCTTTACACCATGAAAGGCCAGTGTAAGAGAAGCGAAAGAGAAAAGAGAACTTTCCAGATTTTCTCAATTGAATTAAGGAGAAAAGTGAGTGGAACCTCCACTATATACAATTGAATAACTAAGAGCTAATACACTAATTAAGTCGGCTAACTAACTTTCTAACTACTAAGCCGATTGGTACAACTGTCAACTCTAACTAACTAATGACTCCACTAACTCCTAACTAACTGATCAATATACATCAATATACATAATTAATCTTAACACCCCCCCCCCCTCAAGTTGAAGGTGTGGTGAACACAACAAACTTGCCCAATGTAGCACTGTGTTTGATCCCAGTCAAGTCTTTAGTTATGATATCTGCGAGCTGGTTGTCTGTTCTGATATGATGGAGAGAAATTAAGCCTGCTTGTAGTTGATCGCGCACAAAGTGACAGTCTACCTCTATGTGCTTGGTCGTCCCGTGTAATACTGGGTTCTTTGCAATTTGCAAAGCAGATTGGCTATCACAAAAGACTGAAATGGGCAAGGAAAGTGGAACAGGTAGTTCTTCAAACAATCTACTTAGCCATACCAGTTCTCCCACAACTTTCCTCAAAGCTCTGTATTTTGCTTCTGCAGAAGAGAGTGATATAGTCTCTTGTTTCTTAGACTTCAACCTAATAGGATTGTTACCTTGTAGAACCAGATAGCCTGTGATGGACCTCCTAGAAACCGGGCAGGATGCCCAATCAGAGTCACAATATGCCTTAACTGTGTGATCCCCATCCTTTGACATAAAAATTCCCAAGGTAGGATCATTTTTTAGGTATCTTAACAAGTGAAATGGTGCTTTTAGGTAAGGTTCCCTGGGCTCCTGCATGAACTGGCTTAAGTGTTGAACACTGTACGCTATGTCCAATCTGGTATTGGTTAAGAAGTTTAACTTGCCTACTAATTTTCTATAGTAAGTGGGATCCTGCAGTATTGCCCCTTCCTTGGCTTTCAGCTTTATAGTGGGATCTAAAGGTGAAGAGCAAGCCTTGTGTTCCAGACTATTGCACTTCTTCAGCAGATCTAACATAAACTTTCTTTGTGATATAATGACCCCATCATCCTTATACATAATCTCCAATCCCAGGAAATAATGAAACTGTTCTAAGTCCTTGATCTTGAACTGTTCATGTAGGAATGCCTTGAGCTATGCAATCTTTTGCTGATCAGTCCCAGTCAATAACACATCATCCACATACACTGCAACATATACTGATGAATCTCCATTCCTTTTGTAGAAGAATGAGTAGTCATACATGGAATGTGTGTAGCCCCTTGAGTACAGTGCCTCAGTCAGTTTTGCATACCATTGTCTACTTGCTTGTTTCAGACCATAGAGAGATCTGTTCAGTTTGCAAACTAAACCCGATTTTTCTACAACTAATCCAGGTGGTACTTGCATATACACCTCTTCATTGAGGTCCCCATGGACGAAAGCGTTATTCACATCTAATTGTGAGATGGACCATCCCTTCTTAACTGATGTAGCTATTAAGGCCCTAACTGTTGTCATATTTACAACTGGTGAGAAGGTTTCTGTATAATCTATTCCTGCCTGCTGAGTATAGCCTTTGACAACCAATCTGGATTTGAACCTCTCAATGCTACCATCTGCTTTGTGCTTCACATTGTACACCCATTTACAACCAATTGCTTGCTTTCCAGGTGGCAGCGTTACTAAATCCCAAGTGAGGTTGGAGTATAATGCATCAAACTCCTCTGTCATAGCAGCTTGCCATGCAGGATCAATGGTTGCCTCCTCATATGGCTCCCTGTCATGATAAACATTTCTCACAAGAGTCTGAATATCAAGAGTTAGTAGATCAGAGGCAATATGGTGATTCACAGAAAACAAAACATTTAAGGAGGCAGGATTTGTTTTAAGTTAAGGTAGGGAATGAACATAGTCCTGTAGGTAGATAGGAAGTTTGTGTGTTCTTTGTGACTGCCTTGTTGATTGAGCTTGTTCTTCATGAGTCTGTTCAGTGTGGTGTTGTGATGATACATTAGGTGCTGAAGAGATAGGTGTTCCAGAAGGTGATGGATTAGCTACATGTATAGGTGACATAGGATCAGATATGTTGTCTGCACTCCCTTGATCACTTAAGTTTTCAGGAGTCTGTATGACATTTGTATTGTCCGAAGGTTGTTCACTTAGAGATTCAATGAAGGGAATTGGATAGGGGGCAGATGATTGAGAAGATTTGTTCATATTAACTCCAAAAGGAAAAACAGATTCATTAAACACCACATCTCTGGAGATGTGGATTTTCCTAGTGGCTACACTTAGAACCTTGTACCCCTTTGTGTTGAAAGGATATCCAACAAATACATGAGGTGTTGTTCTGGGATTGAATTTATCCCTATGTGGTATTGGTACAGTAGGGTAATATAGGCAACCAAAACTCTTTAGGTGAGAGTACTTTGGCTTTCTTCTGTATAGTAGTTCATATGGGGTTTGATTATTGATAGAACTGGAGGGTAGTCTGTTTATTATATAAGTGGCACAAAGGATACACTCACCCCAATATCTTAGAGGTAGCTTGGATTGGAAGAGAAGGGATCTAGCTGTTTCAAGAAGGTATTTGTGCTTTCTCTCCACCACACCATTCTGTTGTGGTGTATAGGGACAGGTTCTCTGATGAATGACCCCTTTAGATTGAAACAACATAGTTGCTTCTTTACTGGTGAATTCTAGTCCATTATCTGACCTTATGGACTTGACAGTTACACCAAACTGGTTTTCTACTAGGTTCATAAAATTCTTGAGTATCTCAGGGGCATTACTTTTGCTGGATAAGAGGTGAGTCCAGGTGGACCTGCTATAATCATCCACTATGGTTATAAAGTATTTATATCTATCATGTGTAGGAACATGATATGGACCCTACAGATCAACATGTAAAAGTTCAAAGATTCTGTTGGTTGTGCTGGTTTTCTGAGGAATGGTAGTCTTTCTTGTCTGGCCATTGGGCAAATGGTACAGTTGAAGGGTTGCTTGGGGCAAAAGTTGGCAGGTATAGCGGTAATGTTCTTCATTTTTGACAAAGGAGACATGTCCAAGTCCATTATGCCACAACACATTTACATTACTTTTAGCACAAGAATGAGATAATATGCTAGGGAATTCAGAAGATGGACTTGCAAAAGAAGCTTGTTTTTCAATTGTTGCACATGAATTATTTACAATTGGAGAAGCTACACACTTATTGGTAAGAAATGGTATATTTACAGCAGAATGAGAATGACGATGTGTGTTACAAGTGCAACAAGTAGAAATGGTAGGCAGTGTTTGAGTGTCCTTTACTGCAGGGCTTGTATTGTTCTTCTTCAAACAGCTTGGGCACAGGATGTACACCCCATCTTTCACTCTACCAATCACCAGAGGCCTCTTCATTGAAGGGGCCTGCAGTATGCAGCTATGTTTGACAAAAGAAACAAGACAATTGAGGTGAGAGGCCAAAGAATGAACTGAGATCAAATTGTATCTAAAAGTAGGAACAAACATCACTTTATCTAGAGTGATCTTAGAAGTGAGAGTCACACTACCAATTTCTGTCACCTTTACCTTGTAGCCATTTGGAAGTATAACTAATAGGGGACAGGGCAAGCTTATTATGTTGGTTAGTAAGGATCTGTTAAAGGTCATGTTGTTTGATGCCCCTGAATCTATAATCCATGAATCAACTCTGTTCTTGAAATATTCACTTGACAATTTACCAAAGTCAATTGAGGAAGTACAAACTATCATACCTACAAAGTTTGATGTTCCTGATGTAATGTTGGTTCCAATTGTGCAGTCTCCTCCTCCTCCTGATTGAAACTGTTGTAGCAGGTTCACTAACTGGCTATACTCCTCTTGGGTAAGACTTACATTCTGAGCACTGTCATGACTAGCACACTTCTCAGTCTCAGCAGAATGAGTGTTAGTGGTTGCTATATGTGCATTGGCCACTGTTCTATTGCCTCTACTGAATTTGTTACTGTGATTGTTGCTTGAATTGTAGTTATAGTTGAAGTTTTGCTTAGCATTTTGATTGAAACTTCTTTAATTTATGTTTGGATTCTGATTCTGACCAAAGCTCTATGGGTATCTATGAAGTTTGTAGCATTTCTCCTTAGTGTGACCTGGTCTCTTACAATAATCACAGAAGGGCCTAGTCCTGTTGTTATGATTGTTGCTGGGAGAGTAGTTTGTTCTGAATGTCCCAGGTATGATTGTGCTAGTATTCAAAGCTGATGACTCCAAAGTTAAGTGGCCACTTGGTTTGTTTTCTCTCTGCCTTTCCTCTTTGATCAATAAGGAAAATGCTTGGGCAATTGAAGGAAGAGGATTCATCATCAATATGCTACCTCGAACTACAGTGTATGTCTCGTTCAATCCCATAAGGAATTGTATCAGCCTCCTATCATGCTCAGCCTTATGCATGATCTCCTTAGCTCCACATGAGTAATTGCAAGTGCAATGAGATTTGGCAATCAAGGTACTGAGTTCCTCCCATAACTTTTTCATTTTTGTGTAATAGCTGGTGACATCAAGGGCTCCTTGAGATAGATCATTGATTTCTTTCTGGATTTGGTACAACTTTGTTCCATTTGTTTGGTCATACCGATCCTCAAGTTCTCTCCACAATTCAAATGCATCTGCTACATATTCAACACTGTCTGCAATCTACTTGGCCAAGGAGTTTAGGATCCATGAAGTCACCATATCATCACACCTTTCCCAAGGCGGAATTTTGATGAATTTGGATCTGGTTTCTTGTATTCTCCGTTGATAAATCCCAGCTTATTCTTCACAGATAATGCTCGCATCACACCTCTTCTCCACGATCGATATCCAAAGCCATCAAATGGAACAGGAACCAAAGCTGCTCCAGGGTTAGCAGATGGATGAACATACAAAGGGCTACTGATATCAACACTTGACTGATTAGGAGCCTCAGTCATAGTCGGTGTTGATTGATTATCATCTTCGCCAGTATTCATTTCGTACAATACAGAATTTCTAAGCAATTGAGAGCTAGAAAAATGGTGATTATGAATTTAGCAATTAAACAACTACAGATTCAGAAGGAAATCATAACCTGTCCTCACGACTACAGCTCGAAATCAATGGAGAAATGAGTTTGCATCTGTGCGATCTAGTTCGAATCATCACTGACGGAAGTAGAACTAGCAGATTCTGTGAGGCGAGTCCAAAATTGATGCTCCTCGCTCTGATACCATATTATGATTGATCAATGGAACAGTAATTCGAAGCTTTGCTGAGCTTCGATGGTGAGCTTTAATGGTGAGAGAGTTGTGACCTTTACGCCATGAAAGGCCACAATAAGAGAAGAGAGAACTTTCCAGATTTTCTCAATTGAATTAAGGAGAAAAGTGAGTGGAACCTCCACTATATACAATTGAACAACTAAGAGCTAATTCACTAACTAAGTCGGCTAACTAACTTTCTAACTACTAAGCTGATTGGTACAACTGTCAACTCTAACTAACTAATGACTCCACTAACTCCTAACTAATTGATCAATATACATCAATATACATAATTAATCTTAACAGAAGCTTTGAATTCGAATTTGGGTTTTCAAAAAATATTATTTGTTTGAATTGGGTGTTGTTGCAAAGAATTGGAAATTCTCTCTACGTCTCTCTCTATCTCTCAATTCCTAATTTCAGTAATGTAAAGCAAAGGAAAAGAGAGCAGCAATTCCACCATTGACATCCATTAAAAAGCTTTAAAGCTTTGAATTCGAATTTGGATTTTCAAAAACCATTATTTGTTTGGATTGGGTGTTGCTGCAAACAATTGGGAATATGGTTTGGAGTTTATATCTCAATTTTTAAGGTGTTTTGGTGAAGAGTAGACTTGATTTTGGCTAAATTTCAGATTGAAAGTCGAAAAAGAAGAAGAAGACATGATATACATTATATTTACGAAATTGTAGTAAAATTGTATTCTGTTATATATATATATATATATATTTAACTATTGTATGAAAGTTTAACAATATTGTATAAAAATTATATTTAAGTTGTATGATATTGTAGTTGTATGTAACTGAGTAGAAATAATGCAAAAAAAATTGTAGATAAGTTGTATAATATATAATTAGTTGTATGAAATTTATTTTTACTATGTATAAATTAGATACAAAATATACAAAAGACATATTGTATAACATATTGTATAAAATTATGCTTAGAGTGTAAGGACTAGTTTGAACCCGTTTGAAATCAAGTGTAAGGACTTGTGTCAAGGTACAATTTTACTCGTGGAACTTTTGCAGCTTTAATTGTTGTATTTTCCTGCTGGTATAATATTTTAATGTTTGTACTTTCAGATAGAGGACTGAGAAGTATGGTCTCTACTGCCGGATTTGTTCCTAGCTTTTGCTGCCCATCTCGAAAGCATGATACCGTGTTGGAGCATATTAATCCCTTGCCTTTAGTGTATTAATATCTCAAGTTGTTCATACTGACGGATTTCCTTTTATTTTGGTGTTTCTGTATTGGGAAAAAAGTTGAATTTATATTGAAGATGACGTGGCGTGACACGTGGACTGGACAAGTGGTCAAAGCGTAACAATTGGGAAAAAGGTACGATAAATGACAGGTACGGGAAGAAGAAGTGAAATAGGCACGAGAAGCAGTTTAGACACGAGTCTCGTACCAATTCGAAGTCATTTAAAGCCAGTGGGTCGAAAGGCATTGAAGACATGAATCTGAAGACAAAAAGGAGTCCAAATTCAGTATTAAATACCTGATACGTTAGAAAATTGGTATTTAATAGGAATGATTGTGTAACGGCTTATTTAATGTCATTTATTGTCCATAATTGTCTCATTAAAGCTTAGGTTTATTTCCTTTACCTAGAATCAACTATAAAAGGAGGAAGTTGTATTGGGAAAAGGATATCTTTTACATCATACTGAAATAAGAAATTTTGTTTACTGCTTTATTATTATTCTCAGAAAGCCTATTATTATTTTGGTCTCTTGATTATCAGTAACCCGATTTTTCATCTCAAATTCTAGTTTTATCCAAAATATTATTTCTTTGGTGAAACAGTTTCTCTTTAGGTGTTACACATCTTTATTAAGTTTGTTCATCATCAGTGAAAATTTTCATAAATTTCTATAACTAAATCCCTAAATATAAGCTTAATTTGGAGAGAAGAGGGGGAGAGGAGAGAAAAAAGGAAAAGGATGTAACTAAATCCCTTGATTGAAGCAACTAATAATGGATTGGGAGCCTTTTAAGGTGGATTGTATATATTTTGTAAACAAAACTTTTTTATGCCAGGTAATTAACTAAATATGGACATTTAGGATAATAAAGTTTCAAATAGTGTATAGAAATGAAAAAATCTCAACTCAAAAGTAATTCATCGGAGACTAGATTCGAGCGATCACTTGATCCCCTTCCTCCCGCAACGCAAAAGAAAAGTAATATTATACATAATATATAGTAAAAGAGTATAATAACATATCTGATCAATCTTTGATCAATACTAGTTACAATAAAATAAAATAGTTGACCATTTCGAGAGTGCCACGACCCACAATCCACTAAGGGTCGTGATGGCACCGGACACCACTGTCAGGCAAGCCAACCAAAAATACTTAATTAAATTCTCGTTTTAAATATTCCTGAAATCTCTCCTTTTATACGTTTAAGCTATACATAGTAAATTTCACTAAATAAGGAAATAAAACCTTTAACAACTTTCAAAATTCTGAATAAACCCACAGACATCCCCAGAACCCGGCGTCACAAGTGCATGAGCTATTTCTAATAAACAATTCAGCACATCATCCGTCCGGAATACAAATGGACAGAAAATAAATACAATACACTGAATGAGACTATACTAGTTGCGGGCCGCCTCGAGTAATGCAGCTCACCTAGTCCCGGTATCATCCATGCTGCTACTCCCAGTAGGCCACTAGAAGTACACGTGCCTTTGCAACAAAAATGTACAGAAGTGTAATATGAGTACAAAAATAACGTGTACTCAGTAAGTATCCCGCCTAATCTCGAAGAAGTAGAGACGAGATGGCAACTTCGACACTTACTAAAGGTCCAGTAATAATATTATTAATGCGATGACTCACGGATTTATTAAGAACAACAATAGATTCAAGTGAATTACTAAACAGGTAAAAGTTCCTCTTTATTAAAAGTCTCCGGATTCATAATCCCTTAGTTAACAATTTTCTCAAATCGGAAAGAGCAGAGAGCAATATCAATAATCTCAAGGCAAGCAATACAAGTATGCACAACTCATGTCGAGGTCGTACCGCCCGATCCAACATAAATGTAAAATGTGCACAGCCGAGGGTCGAGCGGCACGAATCATAGATGCATCTATTATCCCGCTCGCGAATCATACATGCGACGCGGTCAAATATAAATAAACACGAAAATCAGTCAATCATGAATTTATCAGGGAACAATTATCCAAGGAAAAGCCAATTCTCTTTTAACAATTCAAGGAAATAAAGTTTAATCTTCTTAGAAATTCATTTACCAATTCAATAGGATTTAAGAAATTCAATTGTCAATAAGATCACAGATATTCCAAGAATAGCATGCTTCTGGGCTCTAGACTACCCGGACTTGAGCATAATAGTAGCTATGCACGGACTCTCGTCACCTCGTGCGTACGAAGCCCCCGCAAATAGGAGCACATAACCAATTAGCTCACCTATGGGGACAATTCCCTCTTACAAGGTTAGAAAGGAGACTCACCTCGCTCCAATGTGCACTTCCAATACCAAGAATGAGCCCGAACCCTCAAATTGGAGCCGAACGATTCCAAACTAGATAAATGAGGTAGGAACTAGTCGATATAAGCTTACAAGATCATATTCTAACTATTTAAGCAATTTCCCACCCTTAAACACAATTTTCCTAAGATCCGACCCCGGGCCCACGTGCCCGGATTCCTAAATTTTTCAAGGGAAGTTGTTCTTCTTAACCCAAGGATCAATAATATATGATTTCTAATTCATTTCATAAAAAATTTCGTGGTCAAATTCAACTTTTGTCAAAACCCTAGGTTTTTGCTCTAACCCCATGATTTCACCTTAATACTAGTGTTTAATCTACCTAAGACATAATTATTAAACTAGAAATAGGTAGAACACACTTAACTCAAGATGCTAGGTGAGGTTCTTCTCTCAAAAGCTCTAAAATCGCCCAATGGAGGAGTGAAAAAGTGATAAAAATGACTTAGAACCCGTATTAAATGAACCTCACTACCTCAGCGATTTTCGCATCTGCGGTCAGGGGACCGCATCTGTGAAATGGGCCAAAAGAGCTGGGACCGCTTCTGCGGTCTCGAGGCCGCATCTACGGAGCCGCTGTTGCGGCTTGGGAGCCGCTTCTGCGGTTCCTGGCCTGGGCTGCCCTGGGCCACTTCTGCGATGGAAGGACCGCATCAGCAGTCTCGCACTTGCGGTCCACCAACCGCAGGTGCAGTTATGATAAAAGCAGCAACTCAGCTCTCAGCTCTTCTAAAAATTCCGTTTTCGATCCGTTAACTACCCGGGATCCACCCGAGGCCCCCGGGACCCCAACCAATCATACCAACCAGTCCCAAAATACATTACGGACTTGCTCGAGGCCTCAAATCATATCAAACAACGCCAAAACCACGAATCGACCTCCAATCCAAGCTTTATGAACTTTAGAATTTCAAACTTCTACTTTCGATGTTTAAACCTATCAAATTACGTCCGATTGACTTCAAATTTTGCGCACAAGTCATATTTGACATCACGAACCTACTCCAACTTTCGGAATCGGATTCTGACCCTGATATCAAAAAGTCCACTTCCGGTCAAACTTCTCAAAAACCTTCAATTTTCTATCTTTAGCCAAATGACTGCAAAATGACCCACGGACCTCCGAATTCACTTCCGATCGCGCTCCCAACACCAGAATCACCATACGGAGCTACTCCCAAACTCGGATTCCCA